CCCTGTATATTTTAGCACTGACACCTTCAAGATGCTGGGGGGGGGGGTGCCAGAACCCATCACCCCACCAGCCATCTCCACAGATGCGGGCCCCCATCCAGCCCCCACGCCATCTGGCAACGCCCGTATTTAACCCCTTTTCTGAAGGCCATGAGGGAGGGGGCACACCATATTAACAATGTAGCAGACACCACTAGCACCCTGGCCCCATTGCCTGGTCCTCAAGATCTTCTGGAAGGCCAGCAGGGTCAGGGCTATCCAGATCTGGAGGGGCGGGGGAGGCCATTTCACAGGGCACGCAATTCCTTTGGTTGCCTAGGCAAGCACCTCAGAACAGTCAACCAATCCTCTCAAGCAACTGTCTCCCTTATCCTCACTTTGGAAGAATGCTTCAGGCAGAGGCATCTGGAGGGAGAGTCAAAAATGTCAAGGTGGCAGCTGCAACTACATGATCACGGCCGCCATCTTGACTTTTTTTCATGCCCCCCTCCCCCAGCGCCAGGTATTATTCCAGAGGTGTGAGAAAAGAAATGTGGCTGAGAAAAAAGAAAAGTTAACATGGTGCCATACATATTTCCAGGGGAAAAGAACAGTGGAAAACAGCACAGACGTTGCTTTCCCCCAATGGAAATTCACCATTCCTGGAAATACTGCAATGCCAGATTGATGCTTGGAACGGATAGAGCAACCCCCCTTTACCTCTCCATTCAAAAAAGGAGGTGAATGCATTGTCTTCAATAAGGAACACACCAGATTTTACCCTGTTAAGACCCGATGCTCTACTTCCACCTAAACCAAGAATCTAAGAAGCAATAACAGCCACTCTAAAAGCACCAAGGATGATCTGGCCAATGAAATCCTACCTTTTTACAAGCAGTGCAACACACTGGTATGGCCAACATTACAGCCAGCACTATAAACAATCTAGCCTGGTTTCCAATCCCTGGGAATATTCTCTTAAAAGGACACTTCATTCCACTGTTTATATAAATAACCACTTCATAAAATTATTTAATAGCAGATGTTGTAGATGACTGCCTCAGCAATTCCACAGTTCTTCTTTTCCTTGGCAATGTAATCCATATAAAACTGTCCCCCGACCCCAACCACTTTCCCATAGTATCCTGTTAAACTAGGGCAGTGTTTCTCAACCTCAACAACTTTAAGATGTGTGGACTTCAACTCCCAGAATTCTCCAGCCACCCATGCTGGCTGGAGAATTCTGGGA